CAGTTGCAGCAGTACATTGATAGGGAATGGCCAGAGGTTCAGGCTGGATTCAGAAGAGAACTCAAACAAGGAATATCATTGCTGATGTCATATGGATCTTGGAGCAAAACAAACAATACCAGAAAAATGACTACTTATGTTTTATTGATTATGCAAAGACATTCAACTGTGTGGACCATAACTAACTATGGGTAGCCTTGAGAGGAATGGGAATTCCAGAACACTTCATTGTGCTCAGGGAACTTGGATCAAGAGGCAGTTGCACAAACAGAACAAGGGACTACTGCATGGTTTAAAATCAGGAAAGGTGTGCATCAGGGTTGTATCCTCTCACCATACTTGTTCAACCCATGCGCTGAGAAAATTATCAGAGAAGCTGGCTAATATGAAGAAGAATGTGGCATCAGGATTGGAGGAAGGCTTGCTAAATACCTGGGATATGCAGGCGACACAATCTTGCTTACTAAAAGTGAGGAGGACTCGAAGCACTAGCTAATGAAGATCAAGGATTGCAGCCTTCAGTATGGATTACGACTCAATGTAAAGACCAAAATCCTCACAACTCAACCAATGAGTAAGATGATGATAAATGGAGAAAAAGTGAAATTGTCAAGAATTTTGTCTTGTTTAGATCCACAATCAATGCACATGGAAGCAGTAGTCAAATCTAATCAAAACACATATTGCATTAGGTAAATCTGCTGCACAAGATCTCTTTAGAGTGCTGAAAAGTGAGAATGTTACTCTGAGGACTCAGGTGTGCCTGACCCAAGCCATGGTACTTTCAGTTGCCTCATATGCATGTGAAAGTTGGACACTGATAAGGAAGACTGAAGAAGAATTGATGCGTTTGAACGGTGGGGCCAGGGAAGAATATTGAAAGTACAATGGATTGCTAAAAGGACGACCAAATCTATCTTGGAAGAAGTATGGCCAGAATGCTCCTTGGAGGCAAGAATGGCAAGACTTGGTCTGACACACTTTGAACATATTGTCCAGAGAGCCCAGTCCCTGCATAAGAACTTCATGCTTGGTGGTAAAGTGGAGGCCCAGTGAGAGAGAGGAAGGCCCTCCAGGAGACGGACTGACAGTGCGGCTGCATCAATGGGCTCAGGCACAGGAACAATTGTGAGGATGGCACAGGACCATGCAGTGTTTCATTCAGTTGTACCTAGGTTCCCAGTGGGTCGGACCTGACTCTATGCCTCCTAATAAGAACAACACAAATGAAGGAAGGAATTCATGGCTTACCCATTCAAGTCAAATCTCTTTTAGAAGTGCTGCCAGCTCACAGCAGTCCCCACTCCCTGAGTCACATACATTGCCCCTTCCTTGAGCTCTTTGCCTGATTGCACATTCCAACCTATAGAATAAGTGCCCTGCACAGTTATTTTAAGGCTTCATACACTTATACCTCCTATAGCCAACTAGGGAACCGTCACAGGAAATAAATATCTACTGTTACAACCAAATTTGTGGCCAGACTCCAGGCTCCACTTCCATAATCCATCAGCCTCAAGCCTGGGTGGCTTCAAGGACCTACACCCACCAGCGTTACAGTGTAACTCGCCAGGATGAGTATCCACATCCACAGTAGTAAGCACACTTGGTTACTTCTTGCTCCTTTCTGTTCATCTGTATTTCTCTAACGCACAGGAAGAGAATAATGGATACGAGGAATGGCGTGTTTAAAGTCCAGCCTGGTTCCTGCTTCATTATGTTACCCAGCCATCCGTGACCCTTCCTTTGAGACATTTGGAGGATCGAGCTCCAAATCACTCTGCTGAATGACAATGGCAATTGGAAAACAGTACTGTGGCTTTAAGAGCCTTGCTGCTCACTTACATAAATGGTCCATTTCTCATTAGTGGGAAACTAAAAAAAAACAAAAAAATCGTCAAGTGCTGGCCTTACCTTTCTTGGTTTTGTTGTTGTTTTTCAATTCAGGCAAATTCCCTAGATACTATTCATATTTTGTGATGACAGACAGAGGTGTAGCTCAAACCAAAGGCTGTTACTACGAAAATCTGTGCACACATCTAAATCTAGGAGGGGTCAAAACCTTCTAATATTAGCAGTCACCTAAGGCTGGCTGGTCCTTCTCCATTTAGTGAAAAGCCTGCTAAATTCACTTCTCTCTTTCTCTCTCTCCCCTCCCCCCACCAGGCTGCTCCAAAACACGCAGTCATAATGAGCACTGATAGTTTGGGGCTGGGGCAGGGCTTTAATCGTTTGCTTGTTTGTTTTCAATCGACTGCAACCAGGAAAGCAGTGCAGGCTTGGTCAAGGAGAGGGACCCACCGCGCGTCTCGGCTTTTCCCTGAGCCGCCTTCTGCTGCCGGAGCCCTGTCATCAGCCTGCGTATGCGTGTGCTCGGCTCACTCTCCTCTCCCCAGCAAGCCATTCCGATTGCCCCAATTCTCGCCTCCTTGAACCGTCTTTCCCTTTTTATTCCCTCCGCGGCGGAGTCTCGCCTCTCGAAAACACAAACGGACCACCTGGAACTTATTTCGAGACGAGCAGAGCTCACAAATCTAAAATCCCACCTGTCTGCCAGGCGGAGAGCGTCCGAAGCGAGGCGGTCCCACCATCCTGTCATATGCCATCTGTCATGTGCAGCAACTGTTACTGCTGCTACTCAACTGTGTGGTCCCGCCGCGCAAACCCAACGGAACCAGCCATTCCTGCGCAGGTACATCGGCCAAGGGTTCCGAGGAGATGGGGTGGATGGTTCACCTTCCTCCTTCCCGACCCCTTCGGAATCAGGCCCCAGGCTGGGCACCGGGAGGAGGGAGGCACCGTTCAGGTTTGGGGAGAGCAAACCGACGCCGACCGGAACGCCGGAGCCAAGACTCCCCACGCCGACATGGACGCCGAGAGACAGCTCCCGCAGTCTCGCGGACCGCGTCCCCAGCGGGCGCCCGGGCTGCGCCCCCCGCCGCCCGCCGGCCGGTGCCCGGCTCTCGGCGCGCTTACCCAGGGCCCAGGTGCAGCTCTCCTTGATGGCTTTGTACTTGCTCCCCGAAGCTTCCTTCTGCAGCTTCCGCAGGATCTCTTCCATCTTGACCTTCGCAGGGCCGGGCCGTCGCCCGGGAGAGGAGTGCGCGCGAGGCCGCCGCTGCCTGCCCGCCTCTC